AGCCAAGAGGCTAGTTAAATAAAGCATTGAACAAAAGCAATTGTTACAAATTTGTGATTGGTGGCAAATTAGTACATCACAGTTATAGGTGGGATTACAGACGTGGGAACAGATTGGGACACATGCATTATATTAGATAGAAAAGCTTACATGATTGATTTGGGACCTTCCTACTAAGGCAGTCAGGGCAGGGCTGAGAGGACAGTCTCATGATTTTGCAACCCTCAGTACTGTCCTCAGTCTGGTGATCTCCATCCAGGCCACTCCAAGCAAGCCCCCAAGAGAGACTGTCTGGAGAGGGGTGCACTCTGCACAGGGGCTAGATGATCTGCATCCTTGGCTTCTGATCAGAAATAAGTCAATGGGGGCTTAGTCCTTGTGTGGATTCTGTAAGTGGGTTTGGGGCTTTCACTGTCATCCATAGTCTTCTGAAAATGGGGTGCTCAACATTTAAGCTCTAATACAGAATGGACTGTTGGTCTTTGTAAAACTGTGACATCGATATGAAAGAAGACAGTGCTTACTGCCTTTTATTATCCCTAATCCCGTTTTTACTCATTCCTTATATCCACTCAGTATTCTAGGTCTCCCAACCAAAGAAAACCGAATTTTAAAAAATTTTAAATGATTGAGAAATATATTTTCCCTATACATATGCTCTTTTGTGTGAAAAAGAAGATAATTGACTGCATCAAATTTGCTATAGGCTCATATACATAGTATTGAGAGGGATATATCATTTCATTCTTCAAGTGACCACACAGCTGATTTATTTTTCTTGTATTCTCATTTGAGTCTGTTTGTGTGTTCCACAGGGGAGTGTAATTCTATATGCCTTTGTTGGCTTGTTTTAATGAGTATCTTCTTATTCCTCACAAAAATCAGCACAAATATTGATAATAGTTTTGGGAAAATAGTAATATCAATCACAAAAATTAATTCCTGAAATGCTAGTATATTTTCTATCCATTATGTTACTTAATTCTTCCAATAGTAGTTATGTTAATTATTCACTGGAAGAAAGTAGGACTCATAAAAGTAAGTAATTTGCCCAACCACACATGATTACTAGGTTGTAGGATTGAAATCAAGCAAAAGTTAAATGACAAAAATGGAAAACTCAGTGGCATAAAAACAACAACCATTATTTCTTGATCCGTGGCTTGGTTGGTGCTTGACTAGCCAGATGTCCCTCCTCAGGACTCTGCTATGCTGCAGCCAGAAGTCAGGGTCTTTCCATGTCTATTGCTTCTGTTTCGAAGCAGTGGGCTACAGGTGGTTCTCATGGCAGAAGGAACAGGAAGGCAAGCCCAGTCTAGATATCACGCTTCACATTTTCTCTTACATTATGTTTCTTTTACATTCCATTGGCCAATGCTCAATATTAATAGGGTGAGAAAGAATTCTCTTGCCATGGATAGGAGAGGAAGGACGGAAAAAATATTGACTAAACAGTTATCTAGTCTACCGTTCCAATGAAGTCAAGCACATGGTGCTTGTTTTGTTTTGTTTCCTTTTGTAATTTATAAATATTGAAAGAGAAGTGAAATACTTTCTCAATTGGGAGAATGGTGGTCTTTTAGGGAGGAGGAGTCCTGGGCTGGAATGGTGTAAGTGGGGGTACATACATATTTATGGACCACAGTTGCCTTTTTTCCTTTGCTCCAAAGGACGCCCGCCTGCTTTTCTCTATCCTGTCCTTATTTATATTTTACTAGAACACTGGAAGTAGATCACATCAATAGGTGACTCTAGATGACTATGATTATGATCACCAGCTAGAATGGAAGGTATTTTTCTATTTTTATGCAAATCCAATTGATGGGTGGTTTTCACAAGGATATATTTCAAATAGTTCATATAGCAGAAAGCAATAGCATTTACCAAAAATAGCGGAACAAAAACACTTCTAGAGACAGCAGATTGCAAGGATTACATTAGCTCAAGAAAATTGCCACTAGAGAAAATTCTTACCTTGCTCTGATTTTTTTTTAAGTCAGTCACTGATTTAAAGCTAAGATCCTCCTGTGGGGTAATTCAACGGTACATTCATATATCAACCTCCTGGGTTTTGAGACACTCCTTTGGCAGTGCTCCGCCAACTTGATTTTGCGGAAGTAACTATTGAATTAAGGGGTGAAAAGAAACCGGGGAACTAGTTTAGTCCAATTCGTTTAGTGACTAGTTTAGTCTGAGATCAGCATCCTTGGAAAATAACATTTAAAGTTTCTATGACTAGGTTCCCCCCCTTCAACAAATTAATACCATGTAACTGTTCCTTGATTGTGCTATTCAATTTTATCTCTCTCACAAGAAGTGACTGAAAAGAAGATTGATCCCTAAAGGAATATGAAGTCAAGTAATCCGTGTGCCAGTTCTCCTCCTTTCATTAGAAGGCCTTTGATTTAGATTTAGGAGGTCCCTGTGACCTTCAGAAATCAGGGATTTGTATATGTCTGCGCTGGGCTCAGTCAGTGGTCTTTGTTCAAAGGGTGACTTCCCAGCTCTGGTAAATGCCTGTGGATTGGTGTCTCTGCTGCAGCCACCCTATATATATTTTAAACCCTAGCATTTGTGAAGGACTTTTGTTTTGTTTTAAAATTATTCATTTGGAGCATCCACAGAAGATTGTGTGTACATTCTTGTTTGACCAGCGGATACGCGGAAACATGCCCTGTCATACTGTCAAAGCAAAACCATGACTCGGAATGACGGGGCATCGGGGCATCTTGGAGAACTTGAAAGAGGAATAATGTATTAGCGGGTGACCCCAGGAACTACCATTCCCAAAGATTTGGGCCTTGAATGATGGTGGACATTTTATACTTTATCTGCATCAGAAAGATCACAGTGGGGAGCAAGGTCACAGAAGTGGATTAGGCAGGGCTTGCTAGTGTAGATGGGGCTGTTACTAAATGAGGAAGGGAGTCTGGAATGGGGGGAGGGGTGCTCTGGACTGAGGATTGAGGCTGTGTGTTGGGTTTCTTTTCCAAAGGTTAAGATTCCCTATTTGGATGTTTCCTTACAATCCCAGTTCATAAAATGACCTCATTGCTACTTACCTGGTTTCCTGAATGATGCAAACAGTTAAACATTTGACTACTAACTAGAAGGTTCATGGTTTGAATCCTCCCGGAGGTCCTTCTGAAGGAAGGGCTAGCGAACTGCTCCTGAAAAGTCACAGCTGTGGAAACTAATGGAGCAGCTCTGTTCAGTACCTGTGGGAAACAACCTGAGGTCAATGCATGCTACTAGTTATCTGACTTCCCTATGGGACCTCCTCATTCCTGATCATTATCACACCATTCCTTATTTTCCCAGAGCTTGACAACCCTTCTTAGGGAACTTCTTTGGAGACATCAACAACAGTTTCAGGCATATTGGACCAAGATAAGTTCGGGCATCCGCTTGGCCTCACCTGAGATGACGGCCTGCTAGTGTGTGTGGAAAGCCTTGCTAGCCTTCCACAGGATGGGATGGGACTGCCGAGCAGCAGGAGCCCGTGTGTGCGGAGCTGTGCTCTGGCAGTTGGGAGTGTGAATGGGAACAGTGTGCTGTGTTTGCAGGTTCTTGGAGGACGGGCAGCATATCGGTGCCAACTATTGTTGTGAAGGAACCTAAATCTAAATCCGTCTGTATGGTTGGATCGTAATGCTCACTTTACTTAAAACACAGCATGTGGGGAGAGTTAAAATACCAGCATTTAACTTAACCATAAAATACTGGATCTTTGGTTTTTTGCTTTCTTTCTCTCTGCAGAAACAAATTGCATAGTCTATTTGCAAAAGGATTGGCTGTAGCAGGGCAGTAAAGAGACTTGCTGCTACCAGTGCCTGTTGTGATAGTCCTTCTTTCTTGTTAATTCTAATAGAAATAACCATTGATTTATAAGGATGGGATTGAGTGGGGACATTGATTCAAAAGAAGTGAACAGCCCTCAGCAGTATGATTTATGGTGGCATTAGGACGAATGGTTCAGAGTCAGTTCGTACAATCAAAGGTTCCTTGTCCAGTGGTTAAATGTCAAAATATGTTCAGCAAGCAGTAGTCAATTTCTCCATGAAAAGCACACACCTGGGAGAATGTCTGATTAATTCCTTTGAGAGCAAGACCATATTTTGTGCTTGAAATGTAGGAATTTGCTACCAGCCTATCAGTGGTCTTAGGTAGGAGAGGGTTGGTTTAAAATGAGATAAATAACCTATCAGGCACTGATGTTATGGGATGAGGATGGAAATGCAGCGAGTAATCAGAGAGCGTGTAAATAGCAGCAAGCTAATTTTCCGAACCCTAGGCATTCATTGTGCAAGATGTCTGCTACTTAAGAAAATGAAGCTGCTACTCCGGGGTAGATCATATCCTCCTTGGTCATTTATGGTGTGAAGGAAACAAAATCGCCTTTTAAGTGTTGAGGCCCCGCCTCTGGTGATCATGATGGATTTATAGTGCATTGTGGCAGCCTTTGCTGGGCACCTCCAAACTGATCTTACTTTTCTTTTCTCAGTTCCCCCATAAAAGCCTATGCTATCGAATCAATTCATATAATCATGGCCCCATAGTTCTGTCTATATGTTTGATAACTCCAAGTATCATACTGGGGCATAATGGCTGGCTCACTTGTCTGTTTCTGTCTTCACACCATACGGTGCTGTGACTCTATAAGCTACTTGAGGGTAGGGTCTTTCTTTAGCCTGCAGCAGATAGCTATACATGCACTAAATGCTAGTGAATGAAATATTGCAGTGGCAAATAGGTTTCAAGGGTTTTCCTAATTCACAGACTCTCAGGAGTGAGCCCATTGCTCTTTGTTCTGACGTCGACATTGCCACCTGCCCAGTTCTGGTGTAGCTTCCCCCATTTCAAGCTCTGTGATGTTGAACCAGACAGATTTCTTCTGTTATAAATTTCAGTGGTTTATACAATTTGTGCCACTCCACCCCCAAATAAGAGTTTATTTCATTTATGTTGATTTCTAAGGGCTAATGTTTATTTTCCCATAGGGAGCATGACTTCGGCAACGTCACCCATCATCTTGAAATGGGACCCCAAAAGCTTGGAAATCCGGACTTTAACCGTAGAGAGGCTGTTGGAGCCACTTGTTACACAGGTAAGGAATGCTTTGAAACACTTTCAACTGTAATTTTTGTTTTTTGCATTTAAATGTTTCTATCTTGATTGCATCACAACTTTCCAAGGAACTTAGGAATCCTTAAAAGGAATTAATTATGTCATATGCTGATGACTAAATATGTTTTGTCACCTGAATTATGGAAAATTTCATTGACCTGTAAGAGCTGAAGTACCATTTAAAAACCATCTGTGTGATATTTGAATTTAAGTTGATGAGAAAATTGAAGAGAGGGGCGTTGGTGAAGGGGGCCCTCATTTGCAGTAATGGATTCAAAGTCTAAATAAACCGGTCCTCACTTACTTTCAAACGCTAATGCATAGTTAGGAAGAACTTTGTATTGAATACTTAAGAGCAAAGAATATTTGCTGAATTATTTTTTACAAAGCAGAACCTGTCTTGTTGGAAAGAGGAGATGCTCTACTTAGTGATGTTACATTTCCATGAGATGGCTTTCATTAGAATATATATATGAATATTTACATTTTAAATGTTAATTTTCAGTACCTTCTGAAGTATATTCTATGACATTCCTAGCATTTACTATTACATGAAGTATTTGTAGCAAACTATTGTACTAACTTAAGTAGAAGTATTGCATTTATTTCTTATTATTACTATGGCATATTTAATTAATTTAGTGATTTGATTTTGTTGCTAGTCAAATCTGACCATGTCACTTGTGTATTAGAGGAGAACTGCCCAGTAAAGCCTTCTTGCTTTTGTCTTAAGCAGATTGTCAGATTTTTTCTTTTGTGTTGCTGCTTTGAACTGCTAACTTCAGTTTTGTAGCTGTGTACCAATGGTTTACACCACCTCAGGGCCTTAACGTGGTGGCCTGTGTAACAAAAAATGATTATTCTAGAACTTTAGATATAGCCACTCCTACTATGAATGCTTTGGCATGGTTATAGTACTATTTTTTCTGAGAGCTTTACGTGACAGTATGTTTCCTTGCTTTTTGCAGCTTCTGGATGCTACCTATAGTTCCTGATTTGGGGGGGGGGGGGGTTATTGTTGTTGCTTCTTTCCATTTTTAAAGCCAGAAGTGCGGCATCTTCAAATCTCTTTCTCTGATCTTTAGTTTCATAGTCACATGTCCTCTCTGACGCTGACCCTTGTCTGCCTCCTGATGTGTACTCTTGTTATTACAGAAGGCCCATCCAGATAATTCCAAATACTTTCTCTATCTTAATTAGCTTGACCTAATCACGTCTGAAAAGTATCTCATACCAAGTATCTTATACCAAGTATCTCATACCAAGGCAATCTTATACCAAGTAGCATATTTACATATTCCATGGATTAAGAGGTGGAAATCGTTGAGTCACCAATATTCAGTCTATAATAGTGGTGCTCAACCTTCCTAATACCATGACCCTTTAATACAATTCCTCATGTTGTGGTGACCCCACAACCATAAAATTATTTTTGTTGCTACTTTATAACTATAATTTTGCTACTGTTCTGAATCAGGCAACCCCTGTTAAAGGGTAATTCAATCCCCAAAGGGGACTCAACCCACAGGTTGAGAATTGCTAGTCTACAGCATTGCGATCTCTGTCACCCCAAATTCATGTGTGTTTGTATACAAAATATATATCCACCTCATCCCAAGGTCTCTAGACATCTCAGTCCATTGTATTATAAACTCAAATGTAAACTCGTATCTAAGTTTTATTGGCTCTTAGTCCCAAATGACATCATTTAAATCACTTAACTTTGGAATTAGTAAATTCCAGGGTATATGTCCAAACAGGGTAATGGTTCTGGATATTTAATATTGGAGAGAATAGGAGGGGAAAACCAAACCAAACCAAAACAAAACAAAAAAACAGGTATCTGTCCCCCAAGCAATTTAGAAATCCAGGAGAATAAACTTCATTCTAGTCTTGAGAATCATCCCCTGTGACTTGAGGCTCCCTTGTCTGAGTTCAGTGTTCCACTTCCAGCCCATTATTCCTTTTCCAGGATTGGTGCCACATGTTTACAGCAGAGTCATTTTATGAGCTCAGTTCCTGACTATAGCATTTAGCAAGTTCAACAGTTTTTATTTCAATTTTTTCACTGTACTTTTCAGCCTAAACTGGCAATGGTTTTTGCTGATATAGCAGTCTTAAGAAACTCATGAGTCCCCTGTGTATGCTTCAGGGATATAGTCTATTAAGAATGAGGCTCCTCCTATATAGATATTGTATTTCCTAGACCATCTTTCTCTATGTCTCACTTTTGCTGCAATGGCGGAGGGAGTCCTTGAGTCACAGATACAGTCTCTTCTAAGGGACTTCTGTATGACTAAGTAAATTGGCTTTTTTTTTTTAATTCCTCATTTTATTAGGAACTCTTACAGTTGTCATAACATTCCGTAATTCCATAATTGTACAATTGCAATTACAATCAGTTTCAAAACATTTTCTTTCTTCTTGAATCTATGGTAGTTACATAATCTGGTGTCGATTTGGGATTTGAGAGGATTAGGAGTGAAGGGGTAGAATCTAATCTGTTTATCTAGTCTGCCAATGAGGCCTCTGTGTAGGCATGGTCTTCTCCTGATAATTCTGGGAACTCCAGCATTATTTCCTCATTAGGGTCAGGAAACAGTCTCTTTCACAGCTCTTTCCCTTGGAGACTCTCTACTGACAAGGCTGACTCCCTGGGAGACATCCCTGAGGAGAACCACAAGGGCCTACCCTGATGCAACCAGACCTCTGGAGCCAGAGAAGCCCCATAGAGACCCCAGCCAGAGCTGAGATGTTTTCAATGCCACTAGATCCAGAAGATTTACAAGCCATTGGCCTGTGAACTTCCTGCATTCGGTGTCAATGCATGTGTTTTGTGAGTCTGAAGAGGACTTTATAGACTGCTATCAGATATATAGGCTAATATTGTACTTATGGACTTGATCTGGACTGGGCTGGGATGTTTTCTCAGTGTTCAATTGCTCTTGTATATAAACCTTTTTCTTTCTTTTTTTTTTTTTTTAAACCTTTTTCTTATTCACATATGAGCCTCCTTAAATTTGCTTCTCTAGTCTACCTGGAATAACACATTACAGTACCAGAAGTGGGGTTGGGATGCCTTCTTAATGTACAATTACCCTTTATGTAAAGCTTTCTCTGATGCACATATGAGTTTCTATGGATTTGTTTGTCTAGTCTACCCAGACTAACACAAACTCTTTGATATCATCTCCCCTCTATCCCCTCCCTCACCTTTCCCCCAGGAACCCTTGTTGTTATTGTTATATATTATTAATAGTCTATTATATATATTCACCGGCAATTCTGTTCTTCACTCCCCTTGAGTGAAGTTATTCAGTCATCATTGCTCTCTGTTCCCCACTTCCCCTCTGCCCCCCATGCCCCATCTTCTCATATCCTCAGGGAATCACTACTCCCATTGCTGTTTCTGTAGGGTCATCCATCCTGGCATTCCTGCATAGAACAATCTTACTTACACACCTGAACATATGTAGGCCTAACAGTACTAAGGAGGTGAAACATATGTAGGCCTAACAGTACTAAGGAGGTGAAACATGTGCCTTAGTACTAAGGGGAGGAAATATTAAAGAACCAGAGGATAGTTATGAGTTTCATTGTGCTATATTGAGGCCTGCATTTCTCATCCCACCCCACTCCACCCCACACACATGTGGCCCCTCTATTAGGGTCTGTCCAATCGTATTGCTTGTGGGCTTGGGGTCTCCACTTTGTCCATGCTTCTTCATATCCATTTGGTTGTTTGTTTTTGAACTTCTGATACCTATTCCTGTCAAGACCTCATGTTCACACAGGCTGGTGTGCTTCTTCCATGTGGGCTTTGTTGCTTCCCTACTCAATGGCCACTTGTTTGACTACAAACCCTTAAGACCCAAGATGCTACATTTTTTAATAGCCAGACACCATCAACTTTCTTCAACACATTTGCTTATGCACCCATTTTGTCTTGAGCAATCATGTCGTGAAAGTGAGCATCATACAGTGCCACATTATTATAACAAATCATTCTTATACTGAGGTAAGATTTAATCAAGTACTGGCCCAAAGTCCATCTGCTTCCTTGTTGAATTTACATGTATGTACATATATATATGCAAATATAATTATATTCAGATAATTTTTTTTGCTTTCCTCCTCTTTCCTCTTTTTCTTTTTTCTTTTCTACTGCCTCTCTATTATGCTTGCCTATTGTTCACCTCTCAGTAATTTCTCTCAGACACTTTCAATTGATCTAACCTGACCAGGAATGCTACACCCTCCTCACTGTCATTTTTATATCCCTTATTATTCCCCTGTCCCTGTCATTATTGGTTCACCACTGACCTCCCCTTTCCCTACCCGATCCCACTGCCCCCACCCCGACCCAGAACCATTGCTGTCTCCATGGGGTTTCTTTTCCTGCCTATCTTATATAGATAGACAACAACAACAAAAAAGAAAACAGAAAGGCCACATAAATAGTTTGAAGTCTAACTGATGTCCTGATCCAGAGTAGAGAAATATTTCTCTGCTAAATAGCAGTTAGGACCTGTTATAATCTCTCAGTCCAATACCCTTTTCTTTCAGGGTTCCATATCTGGGGACCTGCTTACCTGACATTACTTATGCACCTTTAGTCCTCAGCCTTTGTGTTCAATAAGCACACTCCATCTAGATCCTTATTGCCCTTCCTGCAGTCAGGGATAGAATGATCCCTCCACCCTGTTACACTTTTAGACTTTCGTTGTGGCCCCCAAGCATTTGGGTGAGTGCCAAGTCCTGCCCCAGAGTCAAAAGTCTACACTCTCGATTTCTCAGATTTCTCGATTTCACTCCCCTCACTGGTCTGTTGCACCCACTTCTTGGATTACCCCATAGGTTCCCATCAGACAGGCTGCTCCCCCTGAGTGGTATCTGCAGGGCCATCCTCTATAACACTGTCATCTAGAGGTGACAGCTAAGGCTGGCAATGCAGTCATCTCTGGCAATGAGCTGCTCTGT